GCAGGCAAAAATCATCTTTTCGTCTGTAAAATCGACAAACCTATTCCAAAATGGGTTGAAAGTTATTACAAGTACTAATTTGTGCACATGTGAGAGAGATATTAAGAGTCTGTCTTTGTTCAATACTACCGCAATCACTGGTTGCTATGTTAAAAATGTAACTTCCGCTTTAAAAAGTGTGTTCGCATTATCAAACGCATCGGCAGAAAATTAAATAAAATTCATAATATGTTAGGATGCCAATTATTGTTCATTTTTATTCCCATCATAACTTGCGCTTTAAACAGCAAGTATTTTATTTGATGAAATCGAGGACAACTACGGCTGAAAATATAGCGGAATCTCACTATAATAGTGGTATACCACTATTATAGCGGAATTTACGTTTCCCCCCAACCTGTTAAATGTTCGATAGCAATACTGGGAAATACGTTCGATTGATTGGTTGATTTATTATATGTTGTTTTACGTCCCATTCGAGAATTTTTCACTCATATAGAGACGTCACCATATACCGGTGAAGGGCTTTAAATTTTGACCTTTACTCGGCACTCAGAGCCATTGAGTAGTGAGGGATCTTTATCATGCCAACCCCTGTCGTGACACGAGACCTTGGTTTTTAAGGTCTCATCCGAAGGATTTGCAACTTTCACTTCAAAGTGCCGAGCGCATTGCGAAGGAACAGTTGCTACATGTACCTATTTTCATCGACTTAGGTCAGTCGCGGCCGAGATTCGAACTAAGGATCTTCCGATCACGGAGTAAGCGCTCTACCGACTGAGCTACCGTGAGGGTGAAATACGTTCCAAAAAAAAACATTAATTCACTTCAAAATTTTACCCCGCGTTTCTTTTTCCTTTCGGTATATATTGATAAAACGTGCTCCCCGACATAGTGAATAAATGCATCTTTAATTGTACTATTTGTCTATCTCCATACTCACACATACTATAAAACTTGTTTTAATTTTTTCACCATTGTTTATGTTTAATTATCTCTGTATAAAATTAAATTGTAAAAAATTGTGATGAGATTAATAGTTTGTAATATCACTCATACACACACACACCCACACACACAAATGCCAATTATTCGTTTTTTAACCACATTTTATTTTCTTTCTGAAGATTTTACACAATATATACATTTGTGCATATAAATCAAAAGATTAAAAAATAAGTATCTCGGCCTTTACTGATTAGAGTGTTTTGACCCTCGATTTACTTCCCAACAAAAAAAAATACCGAGACCATAATTCAAAACAAACTGGAATCCAAAAGACAAGCGGATTTGTGGATATCAATATGACTGAGTGTTACACGGCTACTTTTGATTTTTAATTTCCTAGCAGGTATGTAAGTTTATAAAATTTCAAAAATCCGATTGCCCTATCCCAACCCACGTAGCAATCATTTTAACACACATAAATCCGAACTTGTTTGTATCATTGCACAATAAAATGAGTAACTGTTGCACACCTGTTTTTTGAGGACAGGATATTCCCTATAAATTACAAGTATATATTTCATCCCTTACTATATGTGACCCCACCTAATCCTCGGAAAAATAATTTAAAATAAATTTGATTCTAAGCTATCTGGGAATGTAAACATTATAAAATGATTTAAATTGTGGCTGTTATTGTAAGGATGTTGAAGATTCTTTCTCTTCATATTCCCATGTAAAAACGTACTTGAAATTACTTTTGTGACCCCACTCTACCCCCAAGGACCATATTTTTGAATAATATTGAATCTTCATGGATGCTGACGAATATGACTAATCATGGCCCTTCTGTTATTGAGATTAGGATTGATAAATATGCCAATTTAACGTTTGATTCCTTATGATGTAACAAATCAACAATTTTAAACTACATATACCTACATATACATGTAAAACCAATATTCCATGCATCAACACAATACACTCTTTTAATAGTGTGTGCATTACAAAATTGATGCATTAAAACATGCCTTAATTTTAAAATACTATCAAAGATTTGATTTTCATTCATTTCCTACTGAAAGAATTTCTTGTCATGACAACAGGAACGTGTTCATTCAAAATATTTGTTAAAATTGCACTATAGCCCTTTCCCTTACTTTCATTTTGCACAAGATTTCTCATAAACGGTTCTGTCAACTTTCTTAAAATTTCAGACACTTTATGATAAGAATGGCAATCGAATACAGAATTGCTAATTGCAAGACGTTCGGACCGATTAGGAGGTTAGTCGTATCAAGAAACACATTTTTTTGACATACTTTTTCAGGTAATGTTTCACATTCATTCATATAGGAGGATCGTCCTAAAATTCTGTGGATTGAGCTAATATCTATTGCAGAAAATAACGCATCTTTACGTACAAAATACGTTAGAAATACTCTGCTTATGTTTGGTCAGACTATGTACATATATTTCATTTCAATTTCACTAGCAAGAAAAAAATCAAGAAAACCATGAAATATGCCTGAGATACTAGTATAAGAGACATTAAAGTATTTTTAAAGATGCCCAGCAAGGTTATTTTGTATTGTCATCATAATCAGAACTAAGACTGAGCTATCACTTGTTTACAATGTTTGTTAAATAATATAATTTGACGGGGTATGATACACTATAGATCACTGAATTTTCGCGACACTTTATTATCGCGAGGTTGTTGTTTGATATTTAAAAGCGAAACAAAATAACCATGAATTTTGGTTATTGCTCTTATAATCTTTAATAATAGAATTATACGCGGGAATGAATTTTTTGCGACTATAGACGGTCCGACTTAATTACGCGAAAATAGAGTAATCGCGAATAAAAAGTGATTTACAGTTCACTCAATCAGTTCTCTGTATTCAATTATGATTTAATTAATATCATTAAAGAAGTAAAGGACGGGCTAACGACATTGGGTCTCAAAACCAAAACCAATTAACACTTCTCAAACTGACCAATTACCGTAATGGTAACGATCTAAGTCCTGAGAGCCTTTATAACCTCTAAATAAGCGGAAAGAAATATGGAAAACGGCAATTATGAACATTCGGAGGTCTTTTATGATGAAATTGCGCTCAAATATACACATATCTGAATTGCCATCTCTACTATTAACAAACATATTAATTTACTTTGATGGCTTCACTCTTGGTTGTTTACTTTGACATAATGTGAATTTTATAACGTGAATTTTATGAAGATTTTTTGTACAGGAAGGATAGAAGCGTGTAAAACTTTATCATTTAAAACATTGCTGTGACGTCATGCCTTTGTTCTTACAGTCTAAAAATTTACCTGTAGCCGTCAGATAATAATAATTAGCAGTCCAATAATATATTATCTGACAGCAGTGATAACAAAATCGGACAGAAGTTAAAAAACAACAACTAGAGTGAAATCAAGGTTTAATTTGTCCAGAAACCAAAAAAAAAAGTTAGGGAGAAAAAATTCAGGGAAAGCGAACGCGAGGAAATTAAATTAATTGTTAAAAATAGCAAATCCAAGAAGAAACTGGATTTTTAACCTTCCTCAAAAGTAACACTTTCCATTCGTTTTTTTTTTTTTTTGCAAAGCGTTTTCGATACAACACTGTGAATAAGCCAATTTAAATTCATTTCTGATAAAAAAAAAAAACCAGTCTGCGAATCTCTTCATTTAACGATTTAAAAAAGAGTGTCAAACGCACTTAATAAAAAAAAATTTTCCGCATCATAAAAAAATCCTTTATAACCTGACCACTGTCCATAGTTCCTACTAAGCCAAACCACTGCCATTGAATGAATAAAACAAAAGAGTTCACTCATTCATTTTACCGTCTAAAGAAAAAAACTTTCTCTTTTCTTTTGTCTACTTCTCAGATGGTTTTAGTAGAAAACTATTGCTGCCTGAACTCCTATTGTGTAATTATCGGACTCCTCCAGGTAACTTTTGGACATTTAAATAGCAATGTTTTAAGTAAGATATATGCCTCTTACAATTCTATATGTAAAATTATCAGACTGTTTTCGGCCCTAACGGGCCTCAAACACTCTGATAATTTTACATATAGAACAGTATTCGGCATATATCCATTACATATATTCTAGATTATGTACATGCATACATGTGTTCAAGTTTTTATTGCCAACGGACATTGGTTGCAATGATAGCACAGACAATTGATTTTTCCGCCGGAGTACTTTAACAATGCTCAGCCAGATATGTATTTTGCAACACGTATTAAAGTTATGTCTGCCATAAGCAGAAGAGTAACTAAACATGACAGTAATATTTCGTTATAAATTTTTGATTGAATATATTTTGTAGACATTTTTATTATACTATACTGGCTAGTGACCAATTCTAAACGGTACAGTTCTCGTACAATCCTTTTCACTGTATTTTATCAAAATCATTCTTTTTTATGAAAAAAAAAAATGTTTTCCTTTCTTTTATTTTTTTTAACATGTTGGTACTTGATCTTTTAAGATCTTTCCACTTTGGCTCCAAAGACGCATTAATTAATATTTGACAATTTTACAAAATGTACTATCAAAAGATTTTTTTTTGTTGCTTTGAAGCATCCAATTACTTCCGATTAAATTATTTCAAAAATGTAGGAAATATTTAGGTAATATACATGTTTGAAGAAATATCTAAATTCAAGGGAATTTGAATTGGGTTTAATTTTTGTCGACCTCAAAGCAGATAAATAGGAGTGTCCATGAACTGGACGTGAGTTTTATGCAATTTGTTTAGTCATCCCGTGAACACCAGAGGTAATAAAATGAACGAGTTAATAGTGTATGAGAAAGTATTTTGATAATGCTGCATTGATTCACAAGTATAGAAGTTGTTACAATTTACTTAGCAATGTACCAGAATTCAGTTTCAATGATAGTGACGTAATTAATTAAGAGTCATAGATCACTCATCACCAAATTGGATTAGTTGTTAAAACAAAATTAAATTATAAATTCGTTTTATAAGGTTATTTGATATATAAAAATACCTTTATTTTAACATACTTTTAGAACTCAAATGACATTCAATTACGACACCACCATTTGAACTGCAGTCTTCTGGACTGTATAGGCCGGATCCACACTGTGTTATCATCTTTTCCCAACTATTGCACCAAATACTGTTCACCAAAGGTTTACCAAAGGAACTACCATGTGTCCAATTGCGTAACAAAGCTTGATATCTTCAAATTAGAAACGCAATAATCCAGACTTTCATTTTCATACTTAATATTCTATATGATCCCTTGTCTACAGATTATCAGAGTAATGATTTCATAATTATAAGATCCGTGTATTAGTCTATGTTAACAGTGTAGTCTTTCAAGTCTTGCGGATAATTCTGAGAGAGAGAGAGAGAGAGAGAGAACTATGATGAGAATGAAAGATAAGGCATACCCAGGGTAACCAAGACTTCTACAAATAACATTTGCATTTGATACATCCCAACTGCGCCGACATAATACTCTCCAAGTGCCATTTATATATATCTTAGGCATAATTATACTCTTCTCTTGTGCAGTGTTTTCAATAACATATTTAATCGTGTCTGAAAACAAATCGGAAAATGTTCCGTTTAATCTTCCAGTTCCTTTCGTTTTTACATACTATTTTCATTGAAAAGAAGAACTAAATCAATCAACTTTCTTAATAAAATATATATTTAATACAGGCTTGGGGCGAATTACGTTGAAAACTAATGCATTACATTACCATTACTTCAAGAATTTGGGCATTAAATTTCCATTACTCTAATTTCTTCAAGTAATGCATTATGTTACCATTACTTTAGTAAAGTAATGCTTTACCATTACCATAACTTTTGGAGGTTTTCAAAAATAAAAAAAAAACTTTGCAACTATTTTCATAAACATGCATCCCACCCCTTGAAATCTAAACATGATGAATGATAATTTAGTTTTATTGCAAGTACTTGTATTTATTACATTGTATATGATTTACATATCTTTTTATTATTCATAGGAAGTTTAAACTTTTCAATTGCCAATAAGATCAAACATGTACAATATGCACTTTTTGTGTAACTATTGATGTCATAAAGCAATTAACTTTATTAACTTTTGGGGCAATTAATCCCTCCCCAAAACTTAAACTAATATAAACTTCATAAGACATTTAAAGATTTTGTGGATCTAGTACCTTAAATTATGACAACGATTAAATGCATTGACATACTTGAAAAAAGGTTGGACAATATGTACGTTTTGATCTGTTACAAGTAGAATGCCTGTCTTCTATCGCCATTCCTTTTGGTGCAATTGATTTGTTACGGTCAGCTCAAGTTAGACCAGCTCAATTAATGTTTCATAAACACAGTCAGAAAAACAAGAGGCCCATGGGCCACATCGCTCACCTGAGCACATTGGCTAGGCAAAAGCACAAATCTGTTCAGTATTGAAAAGATTACGGGGGGGGGGGGGTTGCTTGAATTTTAAACTACCTGATGATGCTTCCATGTCAATATAACAAATGGCTTTGTCGTACTTGAGAAAATTTTAAAAAATGTGTTCCCATATATTATTTTGTAAAAATTTGATCCCCCATTGTGGCGCCTCCCTATCCCCGGGGTCATGATTTGAACAAACTTGGATCGACACTACCTGGGGATGCTTCCATACCAATATGACAAATCATAGCTTCTCTGTTCTGGAGAAGAAATATTTTTTCTATATGTTCTTATGTAAAACTTTCTACACCCCCCCCCATTGGGCCCCACCCTACCGCCAACGGTCATTATTGAACAAAATTGAATTTACACTACCTGAGGATGCTATCATATCAAAATGACTAAACACAATTTTCAGTTCTTGAGAAGAAATTTTCCTATATGCTCCTATGTAAAAATGTAAAATATCCTATATGCTCCTATGTAAAATGTAAAATTTTCGACCCCCCATTGTGGCCCGACCCTATCCCCGGGGGTCATCTTTTTAACAAACCTGATTCTACACTACCTGCTTCCTTATCAAAATGACTAATAATGGCTTTGCAGTTCTTCAGAAGAAGATATTTTCCTATATATTTCTATGTAGAACTTTGATCCTCCATTGTGGCTCCGCCCTACCCCTGGGGGACATGATTTGAACAAAATTGAATCTACACTACCTGAGGATGCTTCCATATAAATATGACTCATCATGGCTTTGCTGTTCTTGAGAAGAAGATTTTTAAAGATTTTTCCTTTATATTTCTATGTAAAACTTTGATCCTCCATTCTGGCCCCGCCCTACCCCCCGGGGTCAAGATTAGAACAAACTTGAATCTACACTACCTGAGGATGCTTCCACAAGAGTTTCATCTTTCCTGGCCCTGTGGTTCTTGAGAAGAAGATTTTTAAAAGATGCTATCAATTTTTCACTAATTCTTTATTATCTCCCCTTGAAAGAGGGTGTGGCCCTTCATTTGAACAAACTTGAATCCCCTTACCCCAAGAATACTTTGTGCCAGGTTTGGTTGAAATTGGCCCAGTAGTTCTAGAGAAGAAGATGAAAATTTGAAAAGTTTACGACAACGACGACAACGACAACAACAACAACGACGACAGACAACGGACAAATTTCGATCAGAAAAGCTCACTTGAGCCTTCAGCTCAGGTGAGCTAAAAAGGTTTGTTCCCGTTTTGCAAACATTTGAACTTAAGGTATTGAAAAAATGTGTACAAAACGAAAATTTGTCCAGGTAAGATAATTACTTAATTGTTATAGTCGATACCATAGGTGTGAATTTGCAGAAAGAGATTTTACGGAAAGAATAGGAAGAAAAAATGCTAATTTTGCACTTGATATTTTGACTTAATTCTTGAAAAAAATATTTTAAAACATAAAAAATATCACAAATACCAATCAAAACTGTAATTATATGCAGATGATACTAACGGTTTGATCCCGTTTTGCACACATTTGAACTTAAGGTATTGAAAAAACATGTAAATATTTATTATAATGCATTGGTAAAATACATGATATTCTAGATAAATCCCAGACGGAGATCAGACTATAATTGTTATCAAAACATATTTCACACCTATTGTTCTATACCTAATTATCAAATGTGTGCAAAACGGGAACACACCGCAGAGAGAGAGTACTTCTCAAAACAATACATTGTTTTAATAATTACATAACCTTGGAGTCATTGTGTGTTTTGATGACAATCTTTTTCAAAAAGTGGCAATTTTCAGTTACAGTGTACATAAATCACTGTTTAAAGGATATTTGAAAAAAAAAATCTCTAAAATATTCTCTGAAATTAAATTTAATCTGAAATAAGTATGAAAATTTAAATGTGTGGTAAATTGATCTGTTAACAGAATAAAAAGTGTACATACGGAGAGTTTATTTAAATAGGTCATCTTTTTCACTCATTTCTATTATTTAAAACAAAATATTTAAACAATAATTTCCATGTCAATTTTCAACTTTTTTCTTCTTTTTTTTTTTTTTTAAAAAAAGGTATATACAAAATAATGCTTTGTAATGCAATGTAATGCCAGCATTACTCTGGATTTGAGAAAGTAATGCATTATATTACCATTACATGTAATTTATTTATTTTTTTTTGGCATTTCACATTACTAGCATTACTTCGAGTTCAAGTAATGCATTGCAATGCATTACCATTACACTTAGCATTACCCCCAAGCCTGATTTAATATAAAACTAGAAATCATTGTTCAAACAAACCATTTTCTGTATGGTAGCACACTACTGCGGCCTTTCCACCAACGTAATAGGTACTGGATAGTGTGATAGATCTAGGACACTTTAATAAAGAATCTTCATCTCCAACACAGTTCATGGCACCCAGCATTAACGCATCTTCCTTATTGTCTACAAACAGCAGCGATGAAACCGGAAAACCTCTATAAAACAAGTTGTAACATTAAGTCGCCAATATTAAATCATACAGTAATGTATCAATGTTAAAACAGCAAAAAACATACATGATCATACCACCTTCTGTAATAAATTCATGGCTAATTTAAAACAAATCATTGATACTTCAAAACACAATACAAACAAGGGTCAATTTGATAAGAGTAACAGAAAATATCTTTTTTCATTAAAGTCTATAAGAAATGACATAAATATTCGACAGACATGAGAAACAAAAACTATTTTAATATATACCCTGAATACCCAAAACTTTTACATGTCACATCAGCGTCATTTTTATTCCATCCTGCCTCATATACATTTCGCCACCGGTGATTCTTCAAAACCTCAACTACACCCTCATTTGGAGAGCTGCCATTAACAATTCTGACAGTGCCTGAATTACAAATGATTACACTTGTTAATAGATTCTTCTATAAAAATGAAATCTAGGATGAAAAATCTCCATCACCCACCATTTACTGTCTGGTTATAACAAATAACTCCCGCCTCTCGACCAGAATTACAAGTAATGGATCCTCGGGCTGCACATTCGAACAAAGATTCCTCATCTCCATTACAATTCATGCCATCTAAGAACCAAATGGTTTTATTCCTCTTTTCTACAGCTGGCAATGACACTGGAGCACCTCTACAAATAATGTACGGAAAGAGGTGCATTTTTTTTATATTCACAATTTCAAATTGTTAAGCATTCATGAGACGTAACCTTATCCGACACAGTCCTACAAAGCCAAGGAAAAAGAACTTATACGTATCCAGCAAATTTGATGTTGATTTACGGAAATGCACGCGACGTTTGGCAATATTTCTTTCAAGAAAAAACGGGAATTTAAGATATGCCGAAGAAATTGTGAACATGTAACGCAGAGTTAAGTGAAAATAAATTTGTTATTTGATAAAACACCCAAAGTTTACCCAAAAAACCCCAGACTCCGACATGTAACATCTGCGTCATTTTTGTCCCAGTTAGTACTGCATACTTTTCGCCATCGGTCATAAACCAGAACCTCAACACGACCTTCATCTGGAAAGCTGCCATTAACAATTCTAACTCTGCCTGTAATATAAGTCAAAGAAATTGAAAAGATTCTTCAATAAAGTCACGAAATCTACGATGAATAAAATATCTATATCTAACCTTTTATAGTGCAGTAACATATAACTCCCGCTAAGTTACAACTGTTGGATCCTGATCTGGCACATTCTAACAAGGAATCCTCATTTCCATTACAACTCATGCTGTCTAAGAACCAGGTATTTTTCTGTATCTTTCCAAGAGTCGGTATTGATACTGGAAATCCTCTAAGGATATATTTAATTGTTATATTATTTCATGAATTTGGAATAAATGAATCTACAATTCAGGGGAAAATATTCATTCATAATGGATCAATCTGTACAACTAAACATATGTTCTTGTTCTGTTCAAATCAACTTTTGCAGTTTCCTTTTCAAAAGTTATATAAAATATATAAAACGGGAAAAGTGTAATAAAAAGGTTGATGCAAAATTAGTAGTATTCATTGTCATTGATTCGGGTACGCGTACGGCTTTACTCACTTCTATGTTTCATCTAATATTTATTGAAAGGAAATTACAGCACATGAGTATTATTTCCTTTCAACAGAATTACATTTATTATCTCAATTCCTCCTGTTAAAAACTTCAGAATTTCATTTTAACACAATAAAAAACTGAAATCAAAATGATATTAAATTGAAAATACTTCATGTTCAACATTCAATCTCTGAAATAAATATTTTTTTTTTTATCAATTTAAAGGAACCTGATCCAGGCCGGAAGGAAACAAGGTTGGGGGCTTCCTCGTCAATAATTCTGGTAACAGATACTACATGTATTATAGAAAACAAAGCTCATTTTCGTTGAGCTCCCTTAATGATAATGCCTAGTGACACATTTTTGGTGGTATTTTTTTTTTATTTCTGTTGAATTCCCCCCACCTGAAATTGCTTCCTAGAAGCCTGTGAGTAGCTCTTTGCTCATTAGATTGCAAGAATGAAAAATCGCTTTCGGACTTAACAACACGACCTTTAATAATAACGTTGCAAAATTGAAAGAAAACAAATTGCTGGGAATGTTACAGAAATGTTATGTTACATGTGATGTAATATTTGCTGTTATTCAGGAGAGAGCTGAATGGAGTTTCTCTCTCTCTTTCTCCCTATTATTTCCGTTACATGTAGGGATGAGGATGACATACCTGTACAAACCTAGCTACTACATTGTCTTCCTTTGAGGTTAGACCCCGCCACTGACTCCAAGTGGCACCTAGATCGATTGTGTATATACACCGTCGTCTCACTGGCCTCATGTATTTATCGTTAATATTTTTTCACTAGATTACCACTATATGCCTTAAATGTTCTTCAAGTACGCTGGGACAAATTTCCACAGAAAATTTGTGACCTCATAGATAGCGTAAATTAATTCTACGCGGAAAATAGTACTTGGACAGTATCCCTTTGAACTCGAAATAAAAGATTCCACAGAGTCTAACACATCTATTTCAAATTTGGATATTTTACTAGAAAAAGACGTTAATGGTAACCTAAAAACAAAACTTTATGACAAAAGAGATGACGTTAATATTTTGCTATGTCCAACTTCCCTTATTTAGGTAGCAGTATATCTTTATCACCTACAAAAGGGGGAGGGTATTTTTCCCGGTTGATTAGATACGCAAGAGCATGTTCTACGTATACGATCAATTATTGTAAAGAGACAGGTTTTGACAAATAAGTTGATGTTGCAAGGATATCAAATAATCTCTACACTCTACAATGTATCATTAAGTCAAATGTTGACTGATGTTTTTCATACAAATTGTTAGGCCATTGTTTTCACACTGATTAATCTACGGATTTTTCCGTTTGCCTGATCATGACACAGCACACGGCGGATGTGACCGGTCGGCAAGGGATGCTTACTCCTCCATGGCATTTAATCTCACCTCTGATGTTTTTAGAGATCTGTGTTTGCTCTGCTCCAAAATTTGGATTGTTTCAATGGACATTAGAGCTTGATTACTCTTCCTTATTTTCATATTTCATTTCATAACTTGTATGAATAACATTTTAGAAAAGATTCATACAAAATTGGACACTTGTATATGTAACATGAGTATTTTTTTATTCAAATCAAAGTTAAATAGTGTAAAAAAAAATAAATTAATAGATAAAGAAAGAAAGAAAAGAAATAAATTGCATTAGAAGATACAATCATATATCATCAACTACGATTTCTTTGTCTGTTTCTTTTAGGATGTCTCATTTTTTCACTTGCATAGAAAAACCGCTACAAATACTTTGGACCAGAAAGCTTTATTTTGTTTTTGCCATTCGTGACTTATGTGTTTCTGTAAGAGTAACTTCTTGATCAAATCTTTGCATATTATAAAATGTTATAAAAGTTATAATTTTAATTAATGAAAAATATGGAGATAACAAACAGTATTCAAGCTCAAAAGTCCATTCAAACAATACAAATCAGGAGCAGAGCAAACACAGATCTCTAAAACAGAAGAGGTGGGATGAGGTACCATGGAGGAGTGAGCATCCCCTGCCGACCGGTTACACCTATTCAAACTGCAACCCTTCAAGGTACAACATACAATAAATCAGCTGAAATCAGTTAGAAAAACAGGTGCAGAAAACCAAGTGAGAAATGTGGTTCAATCCGTTAAAAATCATTTCAGTCTTGAAAAGTTTAAATATAAGTGTGGTTCAGGGGGGATGCTTTTGAATTAATATGACACAAAATGGCTGTTGCTGATTTTTCCTATGTAAAACGTTGATCCCCCCATTGTGACCCCACCCTACCCCCAGGGGTCATGATTTGAACTAACTTGAATCTACACCACCTGAGGATGCTTGCATATAAAAATCACCAATCATGGCTTTCTTGTTCTGAAGAAGAACATTTTTGGAGATTTTTTCCTATGTATTCCTATGTAAAACTTTGATCGCCCATTGTGGCCCCACCCTAACCCCGGGGACTATGATTTGAAGAAACTTGAATCTACACTACCTCACAATGATTTCACATTAGTTTCATACTTTCAAGCACAGTGGTTCTTAAGAAGAAGATTTTAAAAGGATGCCATTAGTTTTTCAACGAATTCATAATTATCTCCCCTTGGAAGAAGGCATGGCCCTTCATTTGAAAAAACTTGAATCCCCTTTACCCAAGGATACTTTGTGGCAAGTTTGGTTGAAATTGGCCTTGTGGTTCTTGAGAAGAAGATGAAAACATGAAATGTTTACAACGACAACGACGACGACAGACAACGGAAAAATTTCGATCAGAAAAGCTCACTTGAGCCTTCGGCTCAGTTGAGCTAAAAAAATGCAGAAAACAAAGTTGGAAATTCAGTTCCACATAAAAGTAGATACATATATATGCTGAGCAAGAGTGATTCCTCCAAATTGTGAAAATTATGGCTCCTGCGTCAGATGTTCTGGTGTTAGGACGGGGTTTCATAGATCATCATTTAGCGAAAATGCATTAATTCTTTGGAAATCTTCATTCTTCTGCGTAAGACCCTATGAGGCAGAGACCATTGAAATTTACAATTTCTGTTCTCCTTTGCTGTAGATTGGTTGGTTGAATAGGTCTAAATTGGTTCAGCGGTTCCACAGTAGATAATGATGATGTTCAAATGTTCACCTGATCTATACATCAAGGGCTCAAGGCGGGTGTGACCGGTAAACAGGGGATGCTTACTCCTGCAAGACACCTGACTCCACCTCTGGAGTTTCCAGGGGTCCTTGTTTTATGCCCTCTTCAAATATTTGTGATGTTTATAGATTTTTTGAGATCGATCACTGTTCGTTATCTTCGCCTTTTTTATTCACTGCACGACGACGGACGATAATGGATAGCAATAGGTCACCTGAATTTGAAGTATGGCCTTTCAATGTGTCCAAGTTCTGGACAAGATAAACATTTTTCTGCCAGAGACCTTGACATTGCCTTTGGGTCATTTTCAAGGTCATGCCACACTTTGAAGTGAAAATAATTCTTTTGTCATCTATCATCTTCTAATATCTTTTTAATATGAAGTTGTGGATCAGACATGACATGCAATTTTTCTGTTAGAGACTTTGAATCTGTCTAATGGCATTGTATCAAGGACATGGTACACTCAGTTCATGTAAAACTTTGTGTCAAGAATGAGCTGTTTGTGTTTCTCCATTAATTACCTCCTTTTTGGCAATTTATCTCGAACATTCCCCAGTGACCTTAGGTTTGGCCAAGATATCTACATATCATGGTCAATTATTGTGCCAAGTATGAGCATCCAATGTTATATTTAAAATCAAATTACTTATAAAACAATCGTTTGCAAAATCAGAAATTACCCAGAATATCCAAGATCTCTGCATGCCACACTAGCGTCAGATTTGCCCCAATCATTACTGCATACACGTCGCCATTGGTCATTGACCAGAACCTCTACTAGTCCCTCATCTGGAGAACTACCATTGACAGTTCTAACTGTACCTAGAATACAAATGATGATAACGTGAATAGATTCAGAAAAACAAAATATTAATGCAAGAGTGAATAAATCTGAATACTCACTATTCAATGTTTGGTAACACATAACTCCAGCCTCATTGTAGCAATCGGTGGATACAGTATTTGCACATTTAAATAAGGAATCTTCATTGCCGTTACAATTCATATATTCCAAAAACAAATTTTCTTTTCTTCGATTTACAGTTGTCGGCAACGAAACAGGAAAACCTCTACAAAAAGTTTTTTCTTATTATTAGACTTTTATAGAAAAAAATTATTCCTTTATTTATATCGAAGTGTCAAAAATACATATTCATCTGGATCCATATTAAATTATCTCTAGAACTCTTAGAACAGAAATACAATTTTGATTAATTAATGAACAAAGACGTCATATTCATGATCACAGACTAGTTTTGAAACTTTTTTCCTGGAATTACTGGATATGTTGAAATATATTCGGGAAAAAAAATTAACAATCGACAATACATTAGATGAATCAAAAGTAATATCTTTAGATATATTTTGTCTAAATTCAGCGCTTAACTCATTTAAAATTTTAATTCTTAATGAAATATTTTTTTTAAAAACCAGTAAAAACAAATTTTGCATCTAATAAAAATCAAATAACCATACATATTGTTCTTCAAACTCTGAACTTTGAAATGTAACAAATTTCCTATCCGAAAAGCTCTTTAACATTAATTCTGGAGAAAAAAATATATTACTCCATTTAAGACAAATTACTACTAGAGACTACAGAATAAAAATTAAACTTGAACTGTTTTCGGCTATTTACAACAACAGAAAGGAATAAAACTGGACATTGTTTTGAAAAGTCAATAGATAATTTATGGAAGAAAAATGAGATAGATGGATGTGAAGAATACTTTAAAAAGTTATGCAAAGAGAAATGATTTTGACATATTTTATAGATTTGTTAAGAAATGAAAATGAGATCTGCTAAGCAAAGTTATATACAGTCCCTGAAACGTTCTACTTTCCCACTTGAACGGTGAACGAACGCTGAACGAACGCAGAGCGAACGGTGAGCGAACACAGAGCGAACAGCGAGTGAACGATGTGTGAAAGCTGAACGCAGAACGCGAGCGCAAAGTGAACGGTGAACGAACGGTGAACGCAAGATGAACGATTTATTCGGAATGCCTCTGATCTTTTCCTTGTATTGTATCTATTCTATTGTATTCTAATGTCAGGTGAAAAAAATATTTCAAAATTGTCCTAAGAAAGATGAAACATGCACATTATGTAAAACTATTAATTAAGTTTTTTACAATATTTTCTGCACATATGTTCAGCTGTTTAATCACACGATTTTTATCGTTGTAAACATTGTAATTGTTACCGAACGCTGTAGTTCAAAAGATAAATTTTTATTATAGTTGTAAAATAAATATGTTTATTCTTATTTGATATAAAACTATTACAAATAATTTTGAAGAGGAAATTACTGACAGAGAAAGAATTACATCGGTTGTAACAACCATACATGTACATATGTATTTCCGTGCCAAAGTGATTCCGTGTAAAATAATGAGAAAAAAATTTAAAATGTTTTACAAAGGTCTGTGGACGTATTGCATAAAATACGCTCGAAACTTAAAATTCTAATGCAATAATATATTTGTGTGTCTTGTCTTTTTTATGATGATTTTTAAGCAGACTTCTACATGTATCTGTACACAATTCCTGGTGATTATACACGGACAAGATGATACAAAGAAGCATTCATATTATTTGTTATAGATTAAAATTTCAGAACTTGATATTTAAGTAATATGCTGTCATAGTTTTGATTAAACGGACAACTGAGAGAGAGAAAGAGATAGAGAGAAAGAGATACAGAGAGATTCCGTTTTAGCCCCCCTTTCCCAAACGCATGTACAAAAATTCTTAAATTTTTTCTAAATATATCAGGCAGTGAAAGTAATCTTTTTTATTGTTTGACAGTTATAATCGGTTTTAATTTTCCTGCTACAAGTTCACACGAAGTCCACGTGCTTCTCCTGTCAATCAAAATCATTCGACACTGTGTAGGTGTGAAAGTCTCGGCACGTGTATATTTTGAACTACTATTGTTTAATGACTTTTTTAGAAGCATGTTTGTTTTGAGACTGAAATTTTTGTGGTACAAAACGCATTAACTTCTTTTTAAATATTAATCACAATATAGTTGAAATACTAGGTAACAATTTAGGTAGAAAGGGGGGATTGTCATAATCATATCGAATTGCAAACATATAAAGTTAGGGTGAAGAAAGGATTTTTTTTTCTCTAGCAATAGACTTTATATATGTAAAGCAGAAAAAAATTGTAGTGTATTATATTTAAATAAATATTTTTTTAACCATACTATCAATTTAAATTCGCTCCAAAAATATTTGATTAACCGGATATCCGCAATTCTATTTATATTTCTCAGAACTAGTTCTGATATGTGTTTCTATAGTAATTGAAAAAAAAAAACGTGTTAAAAAAATATTTTCGTAATTTTGCTGCAGTTGGTAAATTAATTGACATGGATTATTATTTATCATGGATTTATTATCTATTATATTATCTCTCCATTAACGATTTGTCGTCTTTAATATAACCACAAAACGTTGCAGTGCTCTAAGTATCCGTATATCGCCCGTATTTAAAGGAAGACTGCACTTAAGGACATGCGAAATTTGCGACAAAATAAACTTTCAAAACAAGCATTTTTCTTTTCATTACAAGAATGGTCAACATCCAGTCTACAACTTTATGTAATTACGTTTAATAAAAGTGTGTATTTACGAAGTTCGAATCTATTTTCAAAGGCAGGGGTCATCACAATTTCTTGAATCTCCGTTCGATAATGAGGACGCCCACTTTTTTACTGACTTTATACATAGTCAGCGCATGTTTGTCTATTGTTCTACTTTAACAGTAGTTGTATATTTGCATAAATGATAATGTGTCAAAAGGAGATTAATAGACAAACATGCACTCATTGTTAAAAAGAGAAAAAAAAACTGCTTCTTCTTACATTCGCTCTCTGTGTTGTAACCAAGCATTGTGACATGTTGAATATTATAATTCACGTGATTTCTTACCTCAGGTAACTTTGTGAATACTTTATTCCGTCACGTGACTTGTAAGGTAGCATGTTTTGTGCTAACTAGGACATTGTGTTCGAACACGTTAAGTCATCTGGCACTGATATAAAATCTGCTTTAATTACATTGACGTGCTCACATTGTTAATTTCGTTTTGAAACCTTTGTCAGAAGTGTATTTGTGCCATACAGATTGGAGAGGGAGATTGAAAAGAGTGTTCACGTTCTTTTTTTGAAACATGTCATTGTTATTTATCAAGTCTAATTTTAGACCCATTCTTACAATGTTAGCTCCACCTCTCATGCATAGCTAATGTTCAATCAAGCTCAGGTAAGTGTAAATCACTATATTTAGAAGTAGTAAGGACAAAAAACATTGAATCATTACATTGTATCACAGTCTAAAATCATTTTAAGATTTAAATTTGGTTCCAAATTGACAGGATTCTTTCATAAACATACAAAAGTGAAATTAGGTTTAGTTATAAAAGCAACAGAAGCAACCGAAAAGGACCCAAAAACAGGCGTTAAGTGCAGTCATCCTTTAATTTTTCATCATCGTTCTACATAGGTACCATTCTGAGAGTATTGCATTAGCAATACTAGTCCCCTACCGGCAAGTGTAATCTGGTTCCCGTTAAGAATTGAAAATGCCAAAATTCCGTCAAAACTCAATGAAGCGGAACGAAATACAAACTTGATCTATAACTCATCAAGGTTAAGTCACATACCAAAAATCAGCTCAATATCGCAGTACAGTTAAGTTGCCAAATGGAAATATCGGCGAATTTTTTAGATAGAAAATACATTCTTTACAAGGATGGGCGTTTCTTTTTAGGACTTTACTATTATCGGACAAATGCAATGTGGTTGAAAACTACATGTTGAGGACGATTAGATTTCTTATTTAGACTTGTCACGTGATGTGGCAGTCACGTGATTTTAGCAAATATACCCAAAGTATTGAGGTCATCTATAAATTCTAATATTGCAAGGGCATAACCAAGTTAAAAATCTAAGTTTAACATATAATTATTTTCAACACTCTTTGTAGTTTGTGAAAAGTGCTGCGAACCTATCAAAATGCACTCACACACCAAAAATCAGCTCAATATCTGCAAGCATTTAGGAAAAAAGTGTGAAAAACCAAGTGGGACAGACTGACAGATAGACAGAGGGACAGACGGACAGACAGACAGACGGACGGACGGACAGACTCAGAGGAAACCTATTGTCCCCATATTGTAGATATTTTTAGTCCCCTCCGGTGAAACCGGAGGGGACTATAGGTTTCCTCTGAGTCTGTCCGTCCGTCCGTTTGTCCGTCCGGCTGTCTGTCCGTCTGTCTGTCTGTCCCTCTGTCTGTCAGTCTGTCCCACTTGCTTTAACGCTTTTTTCTTCTAAACGCTTGCAGATACTGAGCTGATTTTTGGTATGTGAGTGTATCTTGATGAGTTAAAGATCAAGTTTGCATTTCGTTCCGCTTCAATGATTTTTGACGGAATTACGACCTTTTCAATTTTTCAGGATTTTCCGCAATTTTTTTCTAAACACTTGCAGATATTGAGCTGATTTTTGGTATGTGTCTTTACCTTGATAAGTTATAGATCAAGTTTGCTTTTCGTTCCGCTTCATTGATATTTGACGGAATTGTGGCATATTCAATTCTTAACGGGAATACGATTACACTTGCCGGTAGGGGACTAGTATAGCTAATGCAATACTCTCAGAATGCTTGTTTCCCGTGAAATAATGATCCTTTAAAGGTGCTTAGACACAGATTTGAACTTAATATTTTCTCAAATTTTCTGTATAATATCACGTCTTATATATTGCAATAGCATTTCACACGAAAATATAATTAAAAACTTACTTTATCTGGAAATTATTGGAACTACGAATTCCGGGGCGCGTTTGATTAACAATCTTTGCACTTACACAAATTTTATTTTTATCATTAATATTTAAGAAAAGAAGCGATTTTGTTATGTATTAATGAAAAATATTACATCTATAATC